CCCCCCCGCAATTTTCCAAAGTAAAAAAACTGTAACTTTACTTTCTTAGACCTCCCACCTCCCCCCCCCTTACAGTATGTGAGATACTTAAGGGATAGCCCCTAAAAGCCTAATAATTGCTCACTAAAGAAATGCTTAGAATGATGAGTGAGTGCAAAGTTGTTGGGTGACTGATCAAACTGAGTTTGTATTGTTTGTAAATACATGAACTATTTTTGTATTGCTGTTGAACTTTTCATTTGTTCAAATGTTGTTTTTTCCATTGAATTGGATCCATTTATAAAAATGTGCAATGAATTGTACTTCACAATAAATTATCATCTAGCATCTAAAATCAATGGTTGTTTTTTAAAAATATAGATTACAAAAAAATAATCATTTATTTTACTATAGGCATTTTAGTTAAATTTGTCTTTATGAATACGTACAAACCAAGAACTTTACTATTTGTACAAAGAACCACCCATAGTCACAATGATAAAAAAAGGCAGAATACGCTGGGCAGGTCATGTTGAAAGGATGCCGGAATGCAGAGAAGCCAAAATTATATACAGGCAGAAGCCTAGGGGCAGACGACTCATCGGTCGCCCAAGGATGAGGTGGATTGATGATGTGGAGACAGATTTACACTAGTTAGGGGTTCGAGCACGGAGACGGAAAGCCATGGATCGCTCCAAATGGAAGGATGTGGTGGAGCAGGCCAGGGCCCTACATGGGCTATAGTGATTGATGATGATGATGATTGTCTTTATGCACACAAAAATAATTCATACAAACACCCCCAGTTATTCGAAAAAATTTTTTTTTTTTTTTTTTTTTTTTTTTTTTTGAATTGGAGAAGATGATTCAACAAGACTGGTTTGTGTGTAGATTAAAAATTGAAATGTCTTTCATGATGTCTGATATTATCAATAGAAAGTAAGATTTTAAAAAACAAACTATGAAATTACACTACTTTAATTGTTTTGCTAATGAAATTAAATGTATGAAATGAAAAACAAAATGCTGAGAAAAGATTTATAAAGGTATTTAAAATGCTAATAATTCTTAATAAATAAATAAATATATATACACTTATTTTGTGAACACTACAATCAGCAAAAAACTTTAGTAATGTATTCTTTAAGTATCTTAAAGTTTGAAAATTTGTATTCTTTAAGTATCTTAAAGTTTGAAAATTGATCATTTCATTGATACAAAATCTTAAATCAGGTGTCAGATACTTCTAGCAGTTGGTGAATTTTAAAAAAATAAGAAAATATAAAGCATTCAAAATATTTCCACAATTTCTTTTTATTATTTTTTTTTTAAAAAGGAGATACATAAATAATACTCAAGTTCCCCTTAAAATATACTTCTGTGACTGTTTACTGCCGTTCTCAAAAATATTTCAAAATATATACAATTATTTGATGCATAAAGCTGCACCTTGCATGGAAGAAGGCTCAAAATAAAAAATTTAACATATTTTAAATCTTTAAAGATATTCAATATTAACTGGGAATATTTAGACATACACAAGCCAGAATACACAATTTCCAGAGCGCATATTTAAAAAATAAAATTCTTAAATATTTAATTATTTTCTTAATACCCTAATCAGCAATAGTTAAATAATTAGATGTTGGCTCAAAGGCTTCAGTATGCAAAAATTAAGTTCATTTCACAGGGCACAAAAATGTACACAGATTTAAAATTCAGCACACATATAATTATACTGCTAAAATTAAATTATTTAAAAATAGACCTTGTGTTATTAACTATTTTTCTGATCCTTGTTATATACTTCAGAACTTTTGGTGAAGAAAATCTCTAGAAAAAAGAAAGACTCCAAAACACAAACTCTTATCAAATTCTCCGGATGATCATGTTTTGTTTTTACGAGTTGGTGAATTTGAAACACTTTGGCCCTTGTCAGTATGAATAGCTTGCTGTAACCTGTTGATTTTTGTCAATACTGTATTTTCCTCTGACCTAATCTTGGTTTCCAGACCAATCTGTGGGGGAAAAAAATATTTTAAAAAATATTAGCAGCATGTGAGAAGGTAATACATTTTCTTAAGCTAAAGGCTGTTTTGTATGGCAAGGTGTCAGGGCAAAAAGTGGTAGAAACAATGAATAATTAATTCAACAAGCTTCTGAATTGAATTTGTGGAATCGTTATTTAACTGTAATTTTACTTCTACTAAATCAAAACTAAATTTATTAAGCACTCTTTTTTTAATTTAACATTTGAACTATTATATAGATTAATTTTACACTGAGAATAAGTTTCTGAATCATAGGTACAAGAACAGATTGAAATTATTTTCATACGCCAGTATTAATAATATCAATCAAATTTCCATATAACAAGCAAAGCCCTTTATTTAACTTTTAAGCAAGAATCAAAATAATTTTTATTTGTAAAACATTCCAAAACTTCAATGGATTCTTCAATATATTGTTCAAACTTATCACATAATACACCAGTTCTGCCAAGTTTAGCTTACCTGTAATTTTAGCAAAACATCAGTGGCCATTTCTTGAATTATAGCTTTTACGTCTTCTGGAGAGAGTTTAGCAAAAATGTCCTCAATGTCCTGAGGCAGAATTACTTCAGGTGGCGGGGATGGTTTCAGTTCATCATCCACCTGGGCCTGAAATTGTGAATGAAAATTTTTTCACATGATTTCATTACATAAAATGAAAATGTTGCTAAATAGAAGGTAAATTTTGCGTTGTAAAACCGGTTTGGTCGAATTGTTTGAAAATTTAGATCTCAGTAGCACTGATGGACTTAATAATACTATTACGGTAAGTTCATCACATGTTTCCAGGTTTCTATAAGTATAAACCTTTTCAAGACTCAATCTTGGATATGAAAAGTAAATATTCAACCCAATCTCTAGATAAATATTTTCTTATCTTACCATAGAATCTTGAAATAAACTTCCTTCAGTTAAAAGAACATATCAACTGATATTAAAAAATTAACAAAGTTGTTAAACCCAATCAGTTATGTTTCATCAAAAACACAGTTAGTAGTTGTTTTTTTTAGTTACCTCTGATAATGTTGCAGGTGTGACAAAATATTCATTATAAGTGTTTTCCATAAGCCCCTCATCCAGTGGAGGAGGAAAAGGTGTTTCAGAAGATAGTGGCACTTCAACAGAAATCTGCCAAAAAAAAGGACTCTTGAGTGTATTAATTTAGTAAAGTACTCCACATGCATTAGTTAATTAATTAAATATATATTGAACATAGTCTCCAACATGTAAAGTCTCCAACATGTAACAATTTTTATATACTTACATCACAACTTGTTATCTTATTTTATATGTGCACTAGTAAGTTATTGTTTCAAGGCCTTAAGAAGAATAAAACTGATCGGTGACTATAACATTATATTTAGATACGATTTTTTTTAAAGTCTTCCTTTTCTTGAAGCAAATGTTAAAAATGGGTCATCAAAAGAAAGATTGATGACAACCTTTACAAGTGGGAAGATGACCTGTTTTTATGCCCCCGGGCACAAATAATAGAGAATCTAGTTTTGCGAGTGTTCTGTAGGATCCCTTCTCGGCTGGGCCTTCTGAAACAAGGGTATGTTTGTAACAGTATCACATACTAAGAGGTGAAACAGTTGCAGATGTCATCAGAAAAATTCCACCTAAAATAATCTACTAAATTTTTACTGTTAAGATTGCGCACTCAGCATCTGACCATTGCAAGTAGCCATCAAATAAATGCATTGCAAAGGCGGGGAGGACTTGATCATCTATAAATTCTTAAGACATGGTGTTCAGCTTGGCTTTGATTTGACCTCTGTTTTGACCTCTTTGATTTTAATAGTCAACACCCAATATTTAAATACTGAAAAAGATGTACAAAATACTTACATTTGTGCACATAATTTCTTCCAGATGAGGTTTAGTCAACATGAATTTATAAAGTTTGTAGTGCTGGAATAAGCTGTAAAAAATGTAAATCTGTATAAATTAAAGGTGGGTTCATCAAATTCATTAATTATATGTTAATTTTTTTTTTAACTTGCTAATGAATTTCTCAAACTCAAATAAACTCAGATACATTGACAGAATTTTACCTAATAAAATGGGTTACGGGTTAAATTTTGTTATAATTCAGGAAAAACAGCTTGCTGTAATAATTACCAAGCAAGGTTTTTTTCTAAGCATTTTCCTAGCAACAACGGATCAACAGATAATTTATTACCATTATTTAATAGCCATAATTTGACAAATGAGTTTAGGAATGGGACCTCATATAAAAGAAGCTTCAGAAAAAGCAGGCCTGTAAGCCAGAATTGGGGCAAACCCTTTATCCTGAAATCTGAAGAAAGTGACAGGTTTTCTAGGTAAATATGAGAGCATCATAGACACGTAGTTAATCCAAAAATAAAAGAACAGTCAAGGCCAAGAGTTTTTTAACAACATGAAATTCCTGGTCTCTTCTCTTAAGTTGCTTCCCATGACCTGCTAGTTACTGCCTGTAAAATTAACAGACAACTCTCTTCAGGAACAGCTCAAGGGATTCATTTATCAAAAGCAATCTCATTGTCAAAAGCAATGCCACAAAGTCTAAATGCAATGTTTACCTTAATTTCAGGTACTCTGTAATTGCTTTTCCCTGTGCCACTGTGAAAAACTCCATGCCATGACCCTTTTGATCGTTAACATCTCCTCCGACGCCAATCAACCGATCATGGAGTTCTTTAAACAGTTCCACCATCGTGCATTTCTCATCTAAAAGAGGGAATACATTTTTTTTAATGCAACAGGTTCTTTGAGCCAACAGTTAATTAGGGTTTGAACAATAAATATTAAATCTAAATCATATTATTAATTAGTTTAATAAAAATCATTCAAAAACTGCTGAAACTTTGTGTTACCTTTAATTTTTTGTAATAACTGATAAGCGAGGGTAAAAAAAGCTCCCAATTGGAAAGGTGTAAATCCTTGTTGTTTTGCCCAATACGCTGCTCCAACATAATAATCAAGGGTGGCTGCATCTTTAAGGTCTATAGCAGGGTTAAGACTGAATTGACTATCTATTTTTCTGTGGGGAAAAAATTATGCAAACCTTTGGGCAGTGGATCTCTGGCTTAAGGTGGTGAGCTTAAGCTGAGTTGCAAAGACATTGTGTTTATATTTCTAATACTAACTACATTGTAGTTTTTTGTTACCACAAAATTTGGTTTAGAAAATAATTTTAAAATAATGTTTTGCAGGAAATATATTCTTTATTTAACAAAAATGAAGTAAAAAAAAAATTTGTTTAAAATCACAAATGAAATCAGCTTGTAATTACTTTTAATACATTATTAAGCTGGTAAATGCTTAAGAATTTTAAAGAAAACCTGGTGTAATTTTACCTCTCCATTTCATCAGCAGTCATTCTCAAAAGCTCATCACAGCATGGTTCAGAGATAATGTCATAAGGAGAATATACCTTTTTATTTATCTCTTCAGCCTTGAGAAAAAAAAAAAAGTTCAATATCATCAGGCAACAGATTAGGAAATTTTGACTCGGGCATAATAAAATGTATTATCTATTTTTCTCTTCAATAACACATTATTGTACCTAAGAGTGTTAACATTAAGGCCTTTTCACAAGCATAAAATGTTTAGCTTCATTATCACAGCTTTGAAAAAACACAATGTTTCCATTACTCTACACTACAAAATAAATACAGCATGAAATATGATAGTTTATTTGTCAATCCAATCTTTTATATTTAAAAAAATGAATCCAGAAATTTTTTTCTACTTAACCAGCATTTTTTAAAAATTTGTATCAGTTTTACTTGAACCAGTGATAAAATGCAAACTCATCGCCACCAGAACAAATAGCAAATAGTTTTGCCTGTTTAATCTGGCTCAGTGAGAACTTAATACAGATTGACAAAACCACAAAATGCAAAAAAATACCATCAGATACATCTTTCCATTCCAAATGTATATTATGTTACTGTTTCCTTTCCATTATGTAGAGAATTTCAATTAAATGTATTTGAGCATTATCAAACTAAACTTTCTAGCTATGAATCATTTTTAAAAATTACAGAAATTTTAATAAATTGGTATAGATGACATAAAAATAAAAATAAATAAGAAGGACAATAATTAATCGCTTTAAAAAAATGATTTTCTCAAATTCAAAAGTTCTTTTATGATAATATTTTTGTGTTAGTACAATTTGTTAAATCGTTTTTGTTTAATTAGCCTGCATAAAGAAAGTATTTAAATCATAAAAGCCATTTAAATAATGAAATATGCTGTTTCTTAACCAAAAAAAATTTTTTAAAACAAAAAAAATAATTGTTTTCGACCAACATTTTTAAATAATAGCTGTTTATATGGGTGGAGTCCCATTTTGGGAGCTCATCCCCAAAAGGTATTTGGTCAAGATATGCCACTGGGTATCATGCAAGATCTGAGAGGCCACATCCTGCGTGTTGGGTATTTGGATAGAAAAAGACTATTCATACTTTCACATGTCTCAGTTGAACCCATCTAAGAAATGTCTTCACTTTTTGTTAAAAATCTCTGAGCAGCAGTGAAACCTCAGATAATGAACACCCCAATTAATGAATAAATCTGTTTAAAAATTTGTGCCTCAATTAATACTTCCAGTTACGGATATACACTTAATTATGTATACACAATCCCACTGGTTCAGTAATGCTTTGGCCCATTTGCAGTAAACATTGTTTGTCCAAGTGTTGTGTTAAAAAATAAGAGAAATAGGCAGAGGACTGGGTTCAGGTTGAAGCAATAAAAAATATACAAAATGTAAAAAAAACCTGAAGAAGGACAGTTCAAATAAGTAGATCGTACTGCCAAGAAACCTTCAAAATCAAAACTAAAAAGACAGACAAACTCAGCTTGTGAACAATTAGTTGACAGGAAATGTTAGACATATTGAATTATGTAAGTACCCTATGAAATCAAAGAGTTTGCATACAAGATTAATAAGAAATGTAAAATATGAATAAATTAAATAAAATAAGCTTAGTGGGAAATGGAAGATGATTATAAAACAACAAGGACTGCATAGTTGAGGTTAGCAAGGATGTGAATTTGAGGCAAATATCATGGAAAGAACTCAGAAGGCAGAAGCTGGCATTGAGCTCTTGCTTTACCTACAGATATTTAGAACTCTAGGCTACTCTAGGTAAATACTCAGAGAGATATTAAGTTTTTACTTTCCTTTGGTTCATAAAGATGGCTGTCAGTAAAGAGAGGCAATCAATGCAGCTGATGTGGCTTAAGGAATGACTATGTTAAAGAAGCAAAGGTCTAAAGTGCTAGAGAAGGTAGAAAAGTTGTTGTTAGTTTGAAAAAAATGAAAACCAGCTGGTTGGAGACAGTGTTAGACTAATAGTCTAGGCCTAGACCTAGGCTAGGTATTTTGACTGAAATTTTAAATTATGAAATTTTAAACTCCAGATATATGGGATTCAAGGCAAAACTAAAACATGGATCTCTAGCTTCCTCATCCACCGACAACAAGCAGTAGTGGTAGGCGGTACAAGCTCCTCCTTTGTCAATGTGAAGTCAGGGGTCCCCCAGGGATCAGTCCTGGGCCCCTGTTTGTTCCTAGCATACATTAATGACCTACCGGAGAAACTGACATCACAGGCAAGACTGTTTGCAGATGACACAGCAGTGTATAGGACGATCGCCAACAGATCTGACCAGGACCAGCTACAACAGGATCTCAATCTGTTAGCTGAGTGGGAGATGAGCTGGGACATGGAATTTCACCCTGCCAAGTGCCAGACACTATCAATCTCTAGAAGTTGTACTCCTCTACACTACCAATACAAACTGCACGGCCATATTCTTGAGCAAGTTTCCTCCGTAAAGTACCTGGGTGTTACCATTCAAAGAGAGGTCCGCTGGGACGAGCATATTAACAATGTATGTAACCAAGCAAACCAAGCCTTGGGGTTCTTAAGGCGAAATCTAAAGATTGGCAACTCCTGTGTGAAAGAAAGAGCATATAAAGCCTTTATCCGTCCGATTTTAGATTATGCATCTTCAGTCTGGGACCCATTTACCCAGAAGAGCATTGACAGGTTGGAGGCGGTCCAGCGACGAGCAGCACGCTTTGTCCTAAACCGCTACAGGAATACCTCTAGTGTTGGCAGCATGCTAGAAACACTAGGCTGGTCACCATTGGAGAAACGACGACGACAATCCAGGCTCTCCATGATGTACAAGATAAATAATGGGCTGGTCCACTGTTCCAGTATTAAACAGAAACTCGTCCCTCTCCCCCATAGACAGCGACGAGGCCATGACAGGCAATTCAGGCTCATACCAGCAAGAAGCCAGTATAGGAGCTGCTCATTCCTGCCCAAGACAATCAGGGACTGGAACCATCTTTCAAAAGGAACAGTTGAGGCGACAACACTAGACACATTTGTGTCTATTGCCTCAAGCCTTCAAACCCCTAGTGCATAATTTCCTCATCACCACCAGTAACAGAAACATTGCAAATCCCATCTACATGCATAGGAGCCAAAATGATCAATAAATTGATCGTGGGCCCTTAAGATATAGAAGAAGAAGAAGAAATAATAGGCCAATTTATTAATATAGTTTCTTGATTTGCCATCTATTAATTATTATTTTAAATGGCTGGCTATAAGTTACTGTAAGCTTTCCAATAACACATTTTGGATTTTCCCATCTTCCGTAGAATTAAAGTTTTTATTTATTTTTTATTATTATTTAATTTCTTATACACAGGGTCAATATTGTAAATTAATGAATTAATACGGTAATAACTATTAGTATTAGGCATTAGGCTAATGAAAGAAGGTAGAAGACCGTTGTTCTTGATATGTTAACTACGTTGTTGTTTGTCAGTCAGGAGTCCACTCACTCACTACGACCACTTTATTAAGACTTTAATCATCAAAGTTTGTGCGAGTTCTTGTTTACCGTTGGTAAAGCAGATCTTGAATGAAAAACAGCTACTGAGCCTGAATGCTTCAAGCCTGGACTCCAGGCTGAAGAAAGCTTTGAGGACGATGGTCTTCCCCTAATCATAGTACTTTGCCTGTGGGAATATGACCGATTACCACCGAGCAAGCCGCGGTGCGCCATAGTTTCTATGGAAACAATTAATCTAACTTCCTAACAAAAGAAGGATCAATTGAATATACCTACTTGATTGTCTTTGGAATCCCCATCTCGAGATTTGGCATGAGACTGTGAAGAAATAAAACGGGAATTTAAGAAAATTAACACACTTCGTGGATATTAGAAATTTCCCATTCTTCTTCTTTTTAGCCTTTTTCACTCCCAGGGAGCATAGGCCTGGCCATCCATATAGGCCTTTAATACTTTTCCATCTGTCCCTGGCCTGGGCTATATTTGCTAGTTCAGCCCAAATGTTTATGTTAGTAATCATTAAAAGAACTTAAACACTAAAAACATAAAGAAAAGGCCCGATCATGGGTTTGGGGTGGAGGTGTAAGCAGACAGTAGTAGTAGTAGTAGTAGTAGTAGTAGTAGTAGTAGTAGTAGTAGTAGTAGTAGTAGTAGTAGTAGTAGTAGTAGTAGTAGTAGTAGTAGTACTAGTAGTAGAAGCAGCAGCAGCAGCAGCAGCAGCAGCAGTAGCAGTAGTAATAGTAGTAATGAATTGAAATGAAGCAAACCTCACATCCTATGATATTAATTATGTTTTGTGGTGTAGGGCCTATTTATTTTTGTTTTAAAATATTATAAATCGCTAAGAGTTGAAGTAATTTTCAAAGGCTTTAATTATAAATTATAACCAAACATTTCTGTTCTTCATCTTCTTAGATATTGTTCCTTCACATAATTGTATTTTGCAACATTTTAAAAGTTAACTTATCCCCCACCCCCTTCTTCTTAATGACATTTTGGTGTTCGTTGGTGTCGATACACAAGGGTTGTGTTTTTCACTATTTCTTACATTTTTTAAAGTTATAACAGAAGGCATTACTTTTTTTCAAATTTAATTTGCTAATAGTGTTTGCGTTTCGAGGTTTCAAATTTGGGTATATTTTAAAGAGTATTTGATTATTTAATGAAAAATACAAAAATCTGTTTTAAAATAATGTTCTTTTTGCGCTGGGAAAATCGTTTGGGTTTTTTTCTTCTGAAAAACCTGGCAATCCTAGGTGTGGGGAGGACTGGTGGAGAGACCGGGTGAGTCCGGGTGATTTTGTGCATATGCAACTTGTCCGGTGCCTAACTGTACCTCAGACTCAGAGCCGTGCACATTTCTTTGTAACACATGAATTTTCGCTCAGATTTCAATATGATTTTCATAATGTTTTGTCTACCAATTTCCCCAATCATTTTATTTTCTATAAAAAATATATTTGTACTTCTATTCTCTCACTCCTTTCTGCTTTTCTTTTCTTTTT